TGTGGTGGTGGTGTGTTGTACCATTAAAAAAAGGGGTATTTTTTGTTGGGGGGAATGTGTGGGGTTTTTTAGTTTTTTTGTTTTCGGGGTCCTTAAAGGTTGGGATTTAAAGGGGGGCTTTAAGTTTTAGTTGGACCTTTTTTTTTTTTCTCTTGGATTTGGGGGTTATCCCTTTGGGGTTTAAAAGTTTTTTTTTTTTGGAAAAGCCGGGGGGGGGGGGGGGCCCCTTTGCCTCTGTGGGGAAAAAAAAAAAAAATAAAAGGGGGGGGGGGCCACCATTTTCAAACGGTTATTTTTTTTTTTTCAGGGGGTTTCCTTTGTTCCTTTTTTCTTGTTTTTCCCTGTTTGAAAAGGGGGGGAACAAACGGGGGTGAAAAAAAAAAAAAAAAAAAGGGAATAAAAAAAAAAAAAAAAAAAAAAGGATTTTTTTAACAAAAAAAACGGCTTTTGTTTTTTTTAAAGGAAAAGGGGGGAAAGGGTGTTTAAGTTTTAAAAAAAAAAAAAAAAAAAATGTTGGGGGGTTTGTAATTTTTTGGGTTTTTAGGGTAAAAAAAAAAGGGTTAGAAAGGGGGTTTTTGGGGGCAAAATTTAAAAATTAATTTTTTAAACAGAAGAAAACAAAAAAAGGAAAATTTTAAAATTTTGTTGTTTATTTGCCTTCCGAGGGGTTTTTAAAAAAATTTTAAAAATTTTGGCAGTTAGGGGGGGAAAAAAAAAAAAAAAACAAAAGGGAAAAAAAAAAAAGAAAAAAAAAAAAAGGGGGAAAAAAAAAAAAAAAGAAAAGGGGGGGGCCTTGCTGGGTCTTTTTTTTATATTGTAACCCCATTTAAAAAACTTTTAATTGGTAAAAATGGAAAATTCTTTTTTTTATACAAGGGGTTTTAGGGGGGCTTTTTTTACCCTTTGGGGGGGACCTTTTCCAAAAAAAACCCCATTTTTTTAAACCAAAAAAGGGTTTTTTTTTGAATTTTTTAAAAAATTAAAGGTTTTTATTTTAAAAAACCAAAAAAAAATCAGTAAAAGGTTTGGGGCTTTTTGTTGGCGGAAAGTTATGGTTTTGGTTTTAAAATTGGGGTTAAATTTCCCCCCCACCCAAACTAACTTTGTGTTCTTTTAAAATTCCTTTTTTTTCTAAAAAGGTTCTTTTTTTTTATTATTTTTTACCAAAAAAACCATTTTGGGTTGGGGGGGGGAGCGTTTTTGCCTTTATTGGGGGCCAAGGGGAAAGGGAAAAATTTTTTTTTTTTTTTAAATTTTGGGGGGGCCCCCCTTTAAAAGGTTTTTTTTTTTTGGTTTTCAATTTTCTCCAATTTTTTCTTTTGGGGGGGAAACCTTTCCATTTAATGTTGGGGGTGTTTGTGTGTTGTTTTTGGGGGGGGGAACCTGTTATTAAAAAAGGGGGGTTTATGATTTTTTTGGGGCACCATTTACCCAAAAAAAAAAGCTGACAAAAGGGTTTTTGGACAAAATTTTTTTCTTTTTTTGTATCCCCCATTTTTCTTTTTCAACCTTTTCCCCCCCTTTGGGGGGGGGTTTTTAACCCTAGGGGGGGCCTTTTCATTTTTCCCCTTTTTTTTGCAAGGGGCCACACAAACCCAAAACCCCAAAAAAAAAAAAAAAAAAAGAAAAAACACATAAAAAAAAAAAAGACAGGGTAACAAGCCCAACACCCCCCACCCCCCACCTTTTGTTTTTTTTTTTTTCCAAAAAACCCATTTTGTTCCCCACACTTATTTCCCCCACCCCCAAAAAAAAGTTTCCCCCCCCCCTTTTCCCCCTGGGGGGGGGTTTTTAAAAAAAAACCAATTTTTCTTTTTCCATGTTTTTTTTTTAACATTAAAATTTTTGTTTTTTTTCTCGTCTTTTTGTTTTTTTTAAAATTAGTTGGGAACCAAAAAAAAAACTGGTTAATAATTCTTAAGTTTGAAAAAAGAAAAAAAAAGGTTTTGCACAAAAAAAAAAAAGGGGGACAAACCTTTTAAAACAAAAAACCTGTTTTTTTAAATTTTTTTTCTAGCTTGGAAAAAAAAAAAAAAAATTTTGGGGGAAGTAAGTTCGGGGGGAGTTTTAAAAAAAGGGGGGGGGGGGGGGGGCCCCCAGGTTTCTAATAACCCACTTTTCCAAATTTGGGGCACCTTCCAGTTTTTTTTTTTTTTTGGCCTTTAAACAAACGGGGGGGGGGAAAAACCCCTTCCCATTTTTTTTTTTTTTTTGGCCAAAAACCAACCTTTTTTCTTTTTGGGTTGGGTTGAAAAAAAAAAAAAAAAAAAAAAAAAAAAAAAAAAAAAAAAGGGAAAAAAATGGGGGTCTAAAAAATTTTTTTTGTTTTTTTAGGTTTTTTTTGTTTTGTGGTTTGGAATGTTATTTTTCCCCAATTTGGCAATTTGTTTATTTCCAAAAAAGGGTTGAGAAAAAAAAGAAAAAAGGGGGGGGAACCATTTTTGAAAAGGGGGGATTCAGTTTTTTTGGCTTTTACTGTGGGGGACCACCATTTTATTTAAAAAAACCAAAAGACCCCTTCAAAAACTTTAAAAAAAACCCCCCCCCAAAAAAAACCCCCTTTTCTTTTTTTAACAAAAAAAGGGGGGGGGAAAAAAAAAAAAAAATAAAAATAATTTTATTTCAAAAAAAAAAGGGCTTTTTTTAAAAAAAAGGGGGGCGGGGGAAAACAAGAAACAAAGGAGGGGGGGGATTAGGGTTTTTTTGGACGGGGAAAAAGAATTTTTCAAAAAAAAAAAAAAAAAAAAAAAGCCCCCCCCAACTTTTTTTTTTTTTTTTTTTTCTTTATTGTTTATTCAAAAAGTTTTTTTAAAATAAAATAAAAAGGGCTTTTTTTTAAAAAACAAAAAAAAAAAAAAAACCCTCCCCCAAGGGTTGGCAAAAAAACAGGCCCTTTTTTTTTTTTTTTGGGGGGTTAAAAAAGGGGGCCTTTAGGGGTTTTTAAGTATTTAAAAAAAAAAAGGACCTTAAAGGGTGGGTGCCTTTTTAAAAAAAAAAAAGCAGGGGGGAAAAAAAAAAAAAAGGGGGGGGCAGGTTAATTTGCCCCCTTTTCCCCCAAAAAAGTATCTAAAATTTGGGTTAAAAAAAACCCCCCCCAAACAATTTTCCTATGCCGGGAAAATCTGATTTTTTTTTTTTTTTGGGAAGGGGTTCCCCGCCGGCCCCAATTTTACGCCCAAAAAAAAAAAAAATTCTTTTAAAAAACTATTTTATTATTTTACTTTTGTTTGTAATAAAAACAAACTTTTTTCAAAAAAAAAAAAAAAAAAAAACATATTTTTTTTTTTTTGGGGAAAGGTTTTTTGTTCCTGGGAACTTTTTGGGGGAAAAAACTGGGTTCCAAATTTTTTTTTTTTAAAACACTTTTTTTTTTATTTTACTTTTTGGGCCCACAAAAAAAAAAAAAAAACTAGCAACATAGACAGCAAATGACATATGACGTGTGAATTAGCTAGTGAGCTTTAGCTGTAAAGTTGCTGGGGGGGTGGATTTCTTTACATTTGGACAGAGACAGGCTAACAAGAGGTTTCACCGTTTCTTTATGCTAAGCTAAGCTAACTGGCCACCGTCTCTGGCTTGATATTTAGCACATGAGAGTGGTATCGATCTTCTCAACTAATTCTCAGCAAAAATGGTGCTAAAAATGGTCTTAAAAGTTCTTAAAGTTACAGATTAAAATGTTTAAAAAAATCAATTCTAGCCTGCATATTTTTTCAGATACTCTTTCATGTTGACACAGTATAATTAGTTTGTGCGCATCTACTAACCTTTTCAGGAGGTCTAAATATATCCCTAACATCAGGAACGTGTTGCCGGTTGCGGCGCCGTAGCAACGTCTGCTGTAGTGATGTCACACGACGCTCTACAGCTGCCGCCTGAGTTCTGGTCAGTGTGGACAGGAACACCGCGTTGTCTTCTTCCTATCAATCAATCAGACACAAACATGAGTCAATAGGTACAATATCTATACATTACATCCATCCATCTATCTAATGGATTCTTCAGTCAGTCTTACTCCTATCAGCAGTTTCGAACACAGCTCACTGAAAGATGTGAACTGCAAATACAAAACTGATAAACAATGACTCAAAATACACTCAGGTCTAACTATTTCAATAAGGGTTCGTTTTTTCCGCACCTGATCCTGGTCTACTGCCAGTGAATCATCAAACAGCCGTGCTAGCCCCGCCTCTGTAAGCCACGCCTCCTCCTGTTCACCTTCTGGAAGAGAAAATAAGAGGGGAAAAAAAAATAAGATAAAGAACTTTTATTTTTGAACTTGGTTCCTGAGAGGGTACATCACTATCGCCTCAAAATGAGGGGAGACTGGTATGGACAAAGAAATTAAGAGAAAAATGGGCACAGAAGCCTCTATTCAACCCCGATGTAAGACACCCAGACGATTCTACAGGTGCAGGAAAGGGAAAAGTGTAACCACGGCTAGAGCTGGACACACATACTATACAGGAAGTGTGTGTTTGCTCAAAAGAACAATAGTCTTCATAATCAGGCTAAATAAGAATTGCATACCGCTGATGTAAGGCGTGCGACACAGAGCTACACAACTCAGAGCTGGCAGTGTGATTTTGATAAACTAGCATTTGCATTTACATTGACTCTCTCCAGATCATTCTACTTCCAGTTTAAGCTATGTAGATAAGGATTCTCTTGATTATTTTCGCCAAACATTTCTATTTCTTTCCTCTTTGAATTGCTTTTCTTTTTTACTTTTTATTTCTGTTCCATTTGACGTTAGCTTGTGTGCCAGTAAAACTTAAAATAATTTAACTAAGAACTGATGTTTGCATCGTGTGTTAGTGTATAGTTGCTGGCCTTATTTTCAGACATATTTTCAAATATACAGTTGTGCATTTTTACGTCTGGAACCATGGATGGATTACTGAACGGGCATATTGAGTACAGGCCTTGGGGCCCAAGGAGTCAATATTTCTTGTTGTAAATTCAACCAAATGATAACCAAAAGATGTCAAACAACTACAAAGAGACACAAAACAACCACATAGACATCAAACAACTACAAAGAGACACTAAACAACCACAAAGACATCAAACAACTACAAAGAGATGCCAAAACAACCACCAAGAAATGCCAAAAACACACAAAAAGACAAAAAACAACTACAAAAAAAGAATCACCAAATATCCACAAAGAGACGCAAAACAACAACAAAGAAGCAAGCTGCCATGTCGAAGTTGTTTTGTGTGTGGTTTGTGGGCGTCTCTGTCCTGTATAGGAGGGGTGGGGGGTGTCCGTGCCCAGTCCATTGTCTCATAATCTGTCCATGTCTGGAACTACACATGCCCAAACTAGCCTATGATCAAACTCTATGGCCAAATGTTCTCTCTGTAAGTAGAATACTCTACATCAAGAATAAAAACACACAATATGAAATTACTGTGCATGTACAGCATAGCAGATGTAAGAAAAGGCTAAACTCATGTGTTTCAGCTCTATCCATGGACACGGTGTATCCTACCCTCAGGAATTTTCTGCTGCTCCTCGTCTTGCACTTCCCCTTCTCCGCTACCTTCTCCCCTCCCTGCGCCTTCTCCTGAGCGATTGATATTCTCCACCTCCTTCCAATAGTCGTCCATCTCCAGATCGTCCAGAGAGTCCTGCGAGACATGTGAAGATACACAAAGACACATATGTAACACAGATGAGGATTTCATTGTTTAGTTTCAAGTTCCCATTTATGTTTCATATCTTGTTTCTGTACTGAACAGAGGGTTTTGTTGATCAAGTAAAAAAAAAAAAACACTCCTACATGCCAGAAATGATGCAAAGAGATAACAAATAACAGCACAAGACTCACAGCCAGTCTGAACAAGCCTTAAAAGTGGCCGGCTGAGCAGCTTCTCTCAGATAAATACACACACACACACACACACATACACACACACACATACTTTACATAAAACACCCCAAATTTAAACAGACCTCAGAGCATGTTTCTCCTGTTTATTCGGCTTTTCCAAAAAAGGCATTTAACTTGAATTAATTTGTTGGTTTAATACTCAAGTCTCCAAGTTAGTGTTGAGCCCACACTCATTCTCAGAAAAAATTACCAGAGAGACTAAAAATACATCCTCACAGAGAGCTACGAAACATCTGAGGGACTACGATTGTTTACCTGCCAACCAAACCGCTGTAAAATTTTAACAATTACAATTTGGACATTTATAGCAGACATTCTTATCCTGAGTTAGTACAGCAGTAAAAAGGTTCCTGCTTGTGAATCTCACTTTTTAAAGTTTATGTTAAAGGGAAATTTCAGTATTTTTCAATCTAGACTTTATTTCACCATGTGTTTGTGTCAAAAAAAAAGGGACACCAAGTTTTAATTTTGGTCCAGTATTGAGTGAGAGTCATGGAGCCACAAAACGGGCTACCACACAATCCTTGCGGGCAATTGCACAATGTCAAAATATGTCCATTAAAAGTGCTTGTTTTTTGCTTGGCCCCACTTGCTGCGGTTTATTTCTTTTTGACAAGTTTGCTGCGACATGTCCATCAATTATCTCTAATGCAAGCACCATATGTCAAACAGTGTTATTTAACAAGGTGCTGCTTCCACCGAGCAAACTACTTTACAAGCGAAATTTGTGACTGTAATCCCACAGTTGAACAATTGAATGTTAAAGACAAACTTCTTACATCATTTACAGCCTACCTGAGAGTTGCAGCGCTGATACGTGGGTCGAGGTCTGGACCTGGAATTGGGACTGTGTCTGGGGCTGGAGCCTGGCTTCGGGCTGGAGGAGGGCTGAGACCTGGGGCAAGTGGAAATGCTGGTGGTAGTGGAAGGCCCGTATCTGTCTCCATGATGTGTGTTCTGGTTCTGTTGAACAGTGTAGTGGCCTGTTCTGCGGCTACAAGACAGACAAACACAGACAGATTAGCAGGCGGAAAGATAAGCAGTTACAGAATGTACAATCTTTGCAAATACATGTCAAAACCTGGTTGACATGCCCCAACAAAACTGTAAATCTTGTTTTAAAAGATTTGCTCACAAGTGAAGCTTGCTCTCAGCCATAACGTTTTCACTTACAGCCACTTTGCACTTTGCACCTTGTTTACTAGTGACGTTATGAAAGATGCCTCATACCAGCACATATCATAAAAATATGATTCCATGTATGCAACAATGTTTCAAACAGCAGGTTTTGTTTTCAATTCAGTTTAGTTTCAGTTTTTCAGAATGGGTTTGGTTGTTTAAGTTGAGTTTATTGTTTAAAATATTTAGTTTTAGGTAAGTATTTATTAAACGTTTCAGTATTAGTTCTTTTATTATAATGAGCTGTGTTTCAGGAGCTAGATTTAAAGAAGTTCAAAATAGGTATTACACCACAAACTTTGTGTCATGTAGACAACCCAGTGTCAATAAACATAGTATATGGACCAATGTCTCCTCATGCTTGTGTTGACAAATTTAAGGCAAATTGACAGCATTTTCTGTATATTTCCATTTTATTTTAGTATACAATATTGTTTTTGTTTTTTATTAACTAAAATGATTTTCTTCACACCTAATTTTAGTTTAGTTTTAGGTAACTGTCGATAACTTTGTTCCCATTAATGGGCAGTGAACCCGAGAGAGACGAGAGAGAGAGCGAGAGAGAGAGAGAGAGAGAGAGAGAGATGAGACGAGAACCCGAGAGAGAGTCGGTGAGAAACAGTGGAGAGACGGGTGACCGAAAATTCTGAGGCGCTGTACGACAGCTTTTGACACACAAGGACTACTGTCCGCGTGTCACGGCAGCTAGGATGTGGATCTGCCCAAGAAAAAGGACGAGCCAGCTTATACAGGACGACTGACAAGTCAAGCAAGAGTCGAGTCTATAGAATACTTCCAAGGCTAAGGTTCATAGGCGATATGCATCATGGCAGGGAGTCGTATACATAAGCATGCGTGCAACGGATATGGTCTTAGTTGTAGGACATTATGCCTCACCGATACAATCTATCTATCTACTTCACATACACATAATTCACACATAATCATTTAGGCTCACTTACGCGTTTAAGACCAGGCATTGAACTATATATATATATTGGGATGCGGGGTAATAACGTTCCTTCGGTTTAAAAATGAATGGTTCACGTTTGAAATCAGCAATTACTAATAAGCCTCAGTTTTGTCTTAAACATATCGATTAGGCTTGATTAAAATTATGGCCCTGAATTTTCTGGCATCGATTCAAATTATAAGACAGAACGACGACCGTGGTGATGGTAAACGGCAAATTTCTGTTTATTCTCTGTATAACCAATGGCAAAAGACAGCACCCCAGCCTGACACCCACACTTTACATTATTACCAACGCAAAGTTAACAGAAGCAAACACTTCTACCAGGTATCTTCCATGGCTGGTTAAACAGACGCTCAGGAAAATCGATAAGAAAGTAAGTACATGCATATTCCCCCAGGCGGGGAGTGTGTGCGCACACCTTCAACAAAAACCGCAATATTATTTCTTTCCCTTTTTTAGGTCAAAGCGTCCCTATTAATATGAGGGCCAATCTTGTTCATCCATCTCCATAGTCTTCACGCAGATTGGAAGTCACAACTGACGCGGTACAGAGCCACAACATTCTATTGTCGGAAGAGCCAGATGGATAACCAGGAATCCGGGGTATCTAAAAATCCTTCCACTGTAATAGCAACTGTAATGGCAGGCTTAAAGTGGCTACTCTTATCAATGGTAAGTACACTAGAGATTTAAGACTGGCCCACTAATTCAGTGTCTCTGTTCCTAAGTACACTGACTGAACACACACACAACACACACACACACCACCACACACACACCACTGATATAACAAACTTTACGATCACCACAGCTTTCAGTGAATTTAGCAGTCCCACTGGAGAAAGCTGAGAAGCGTTCAGTTACCCAAAATAAAGATGGGTAATTTTATTATAAATACGTGTCATGATTCGCTTGAATTTTAAAATATTTTTGTTTGATCTTATATGTCGCATAGTTTATCTATAGTAGGGTCTTGATACTTGTCACCAGAGAGAGC